TATGAAAAAATAAATGCTCTGGTGAACTCAATGCACAGGAAAATCAAGTTTGTTACTGATGCGAAAGGGAGATTATGAGAATTTTTAGTTTTATTTTTGGGGGGTGTCACCATATTGATATCAGTTTCTCAGGAACTATCACTCAAAATCGCACAAAATTTTGGTAACTTGTTGATTAAAGATGAATTAAAATGTATGATAAAAATGCTGAAAAACATATTTGAAATAATTGTTTTAATTTAACTCAAAAGTTTAATATGCGTTTCTTAATCCTTTCGGTATATTATATTTAATGTTGTGGTAATAAATCGTTACTCCATCTACTCTCTGTGTTCAATTTCTTCTTTTCATGATCTGCACATAAAAATCATTTTTGAAAAGATAAGCAGCGCGTTATACTTCAAACTATTTTTATGTTGCTCTAATGTTATTGTTGTTTATGAAAATCAATATTACAAATTTAAAACTTTCTATATATATATATATATATATATTACAAATTTAAAACTTTCTAAGGTGAAATTTATAGGTGAGGGTCGGGACCCCTTAAATGATAACATACGGTATATCACTATATATATATATTGTAAATACATGTAGTAAGTGTTTAATTTCCTATCAATAGTTAATTGTGTTACAATAATTTTCACCAAAATACATTTTATAAATTGATCATGTTACAAAACCCAAGCATTTACAAACGTTTTGTATTTTCACATGTGGTCATGAAATAGTCCAGAACATGAAAACATTCCAAGGTAAGATGCAAATCTTATACGATATAACTTTTGATGCACCAGATATGCATTTCGACAAATTATGTGTCTTCAAAGATAATAGTACTCTGACATGCCGAAATGTTTTCTTTAAAGAGTATTTTTTTATATAAAATCTTGGTGTTGAGTCCTGAGGGTTGTGTTATGCTGTCTTTTTTAATATTTTCCGGATGTCCTACTGCGTTTCCTCTTAATTCGTACTTTGGCAAATTCGTACTGAATTCATATTTATCACTGAATGTGTAAAATTTCTATATTTACCATCCTTGTTTGTTATCTTGTAAGCAAAGATCCGACGTTGAATAAATGTTGGCAATTCAATTCAATTTGAATTCAATGTTGATTCAACGTTAAATTTTCAACGTTGAAAAGTCAACGTTGAATCAATATTGTATCTAGATTTATCAACGTCTAAACCCAACTTCAACTAATATTCAACGTTTAAACAACGTTGTGTGCCTGCTGGGAAGTTTATACAACGGCCTGTATCACAAACACGTATGAGATAAATAGAAGTATCTATGGTTAATTGATGATATAATTTCAACAAGATTTCATAATTTACAAAATTTCATTCTCGCCATGTAGCCGTTAAGGATTGTTTGTCACGGCTCTCAGACCGGTTTCTACAATTTGTCGGAGTGTGAGTTCTGAGCAGGCCGTAGAAGTGAGAAGGTGTGTTCTTCCTATATGAAAATGTTTTATGACCTCGCGGGTATGTTTAGGAAGATATAAGTCCTTTCTCGAGAAATTTAGACTTTTTAAACAAAATTTACCTTGATAAAAAACCAAAAACCGCTGATAAAAGTAAACTGTTATTAACTATTGTATACAGATAAAAGAGTGTCTAATTCAAAGACGTGCACCACCGGCCACGGCATCACGTGACTTCTATTGATAGCGAAATTTTCCTTAATAAAAAAGCTAATAGAACAACAATACCACGGAGTTTGATGTCTTTGGGTAAATAAAATAGTTGAAAAACATCTATTTTGCCTAAAAAATGCTGCTAGAATCCCACTGTCCTGTCAGTAAAATAATTATTCCACAAATTCGGACGAAACCCTACCCTATGTTTTGAATTTTATACATGTGATCCGAAATTTTTCGTAAACCATGGTTAACTCGGGATTCTAGCAGCACTTTCCAAGTTTGTCAGAAGGCAAACTTTCCATCTGTACAAATCTTATGTTTTGAAATATCCAGCTTATTGTTCTTCTGTTGCATTATTTTTGTCACAAATGACAGAGGAAAGGCCGACTGGGATATGTATATAGCTGACTGTCTTCGAAGGAGAATATAATCAATGAAAATAATTTACTCTACCTGTTTAATTAACTTAACTTCATATAAATTTCACATAATATTCACGATATTCCTTTTAAAACTCCATTTTACGTATCTTAGTACATGCCGTCTTAGCCAAATTCTCTTTACATGACAAGATCAATTCCCAAGTTACTTGATTCACACATATGACGTCATCGGTGGTACATTTTAATGAAAACGACAGATACAGCATAAGAAAATAAAAACATTTTATTTTCGTTCATGTTTACACGTTTCTATCCATTTTCTAGAGTTAAATTACATCTCTAAATACCAATATTACGAAAACTTCTGTTTTAAAATTGACGTCATCTCGCCTACTATGTCGTCATAATGTGGCACTGGTTTAGTCAAGGTAAAATATTTTGTATCCTTCCTTATTACCCCTGCGCTGTGTGGTCGCCAGACAAATAGCTGTGTGTATTTGGCTTGAATGTTTTGTGTGTTTGAGAAGTTTTCCTGTGTGGACAGTAGAATATTTTTGAGTACTTTCGCAGAGATGAGTTTGAAATGTTTATTTTCTTAGCCAGGATTTTTTTTTATTTTCCTAAAGTTATTACTTTGTTAAGTTTTATTTGTACTATTTCTCGATCATGACAAGGAGCACACGGCGGGTGTGACCGGTCGGTAGAGGATGCTCACTCGTCCATGACATCTGATCCCACCTCTAATGTTTTGGAGGTCAGTGTTTAAATGCTCTGCTCCTATTTTGAATTGTTTTATGGACTTTTGATCTTGAATACTGTTTGTTATCTCCATATGTTTCATTTAACAAAACAAATTTACAAATAATCAATGACAAGGTAAGTCTACTTACGAGTTCCGTTGATATTGAAAAAGCAGCTATTTATGATGTCAAAGAACTTAGACTTCAGCTTTACGTGGGAAATACATACAGTAGTTTAAAAAACGTACGTTTTGTTATTTTGTAAGACTTGTTGTTTAAAATATTCTGAAAGGTGTTTAAATACTGTATCCACATCTGATTTAAACAGATTTTTGAATAAACTGTTGTCAAGTTCATGTACTCTTGAATTTTATCTTTTGTATCGTCAGCAAATATTTTAGTAAGGAGTGAAAAGATGTTTGGTAGTGCATTTATGTGAACCCGCTATGTTTTTGTCTGGAGGGGTTATTATAAAGATTTTGAATCCAAAAAGCTAGATTTGGTATTCATTTTGAGTGCTGGCCGCTGGGAACATTTAATATAAATACCTAAAATTACCTTGGTTTTGAAGAATCCCTATATTGGAAAGGGATCTATTTGAATAAGTTTGATTACCACAGAATTGAATCCTGGCTAGTTTCTCTAAAATAAAATTCTAAAAATTAACCTTACATATAAAAACAGCATTTATACCGGGGACAGTATATACCTACCATATAGTCTATCTAATTCTTATTTCACTTCTGCAAAATGTCGAGGACAGAAGGGTGTATGGTTTTCATTCCCCCATATCCACCCCAAATCGCATAATGCGAGATTTTAACATTCATCTGATGCATTTCATCCATTCTGACAAAGTGTAAAGGCATTATTTTTCATATTTGGCCCCTTTACTTTTATAGTAAGATATATCTATTAGATATATATAAAGGAATATAACTAGTGAGACTGCATTTTGATTGACTTAATTATTGTTTATTTGCGTTAGCTTTTCTTGTACAACAAATAACTCATGACATCTGTTACTTAGTTTTGTTAATGAGTTCAAAATATGAATTTTTAATTATTGTATTCGAGTGCTTGAAAAAAGGGACAATACCACTGACACTGTTCGACCCTGCAAATCTGTCTTTAGCTACTTTTTTGCTATTATTCGGGGAGTTAGAAAAAGGACACTGTATTTGATACTGTTTGACCAAGGACAATAAAGGTGTGTAAAGTTTTTTTTTATCTTTTTGACAAAAGTGCATCAAGCGTCTTTCAAACAATAAAATACATATGATAAAGTATTATAATATATTGTATAAAATAATTTTTGAAGAAACAAAAACTATTATTGATCTGGATTGGTTTTTTTTACGTTTTGTCCTATGACGTCAAATATTATTTAGATCGTTATATTTTAAAAGGAGATTGATTGGTTGTATATTGTTTAACGTCTCTCTCGAGAATTTTTCACTCATATGGAGACACCACCATTTGCCGGTGAAGAGCTGCAAATTTTTGTCCTATACTCGGCACTCAGGGCCATTGAGCAGGGAGGGATCTTTTTCGTGCCCGCACCTACTGCGACACGGGGCCTCGGTTTATACGGTCTCATCCGATGGACCGGTCTCCACGTCCCGCAGTGGGATTCAAACCCGAGACGTAAGGATTGACTCTTTACTTCGCGATCCTAGAGCAGACGCTCTAACCACTGCGCCACGCGGGCGACTTTTAAATGAAGAGAAAAATGTGCAAATTTTGTTCAATTTTGATTTTAGCTTTCATAGAGCACTAAAGGTCACCAAAGGATCATTATCTCACATTTCATTGATATTATCTTTCTACATTGACAACACATTCTATAATGGATTTTATGCAGATCTAATTTCGATATTTTCTAAAATAAAATTCTCGACGTGAAGATACACTACACTGTAATTTCTTTTTTTAAATCATTTAAATGATACATTTATACTTTTTTTGATGTCATACTCGTATTCTTGTATTCAACTCTTAAAGGCTATATTTATAGATGAAATGTTTATTGCTTTAAAGTCTGCATATATCATTCTGGCTAAAAAAAAATTGAATCAAAACAATATACAAATACGAGCAATTGCATTATTTTCTTTATAGCTTTGCCTTTAAGTGTAATGTTAGGTCACAAATAGTATATATGTATACCAATATCCCTCGAACATGTGGTATAAAATTCACAGACATAAAATAATGAAGACAATACATAAAAATGTTTCCTTTATTAAAGCGCAGCTTTCAACATCACCCACAAACAATTATGAAAATCCTATATAATTATTAAGTTTAAATAACATGACAAGTTAGTTTCATTTGCAAAATGTTCACTAAAAAGGATACAATGCATATACGTGGCAGTAAAGAAAATATTTTAGTGCTGGAACACTTCAAAGATGAAAAATTGAAATCCAAATTAACATGATAATTAATCGCACTTAGAGATAAAAAGATGCTTATCCTTTTGAACCAACCAAAGAAGTCTTAATATAATAAGATAAGCGGAACGTCTTTCTAATGTACCGGTATATAAAATCAGTGTGTAAAGTTTCATTAAACATTCCTGCAAACACAAGCATTATAGGCATGAACTCTGACTTGATATAATATATCAAATATTTTTGGAACTTATCTTCAAATTTGCTAATGGTATATAATATACCGGTATTTCGCGAGTCTAATTAGTACAATTACAACAGTCTAAACTGTCACATTCGCCTTCAATCCTACACATGAGGCCATTCCACATTTTTGTATTTCGCTTCCAGAGCTGCCTTTAGTTCCTCTGAATGAGCTTCATCTCTCGTCTCCACGACACACTTCACCTGCAAAATCAAATTGATGTGTTTAATTGCCAATTTACATGTACTCAAGTCCATAGACCCAGCTTATCTGTACCTGAGGCCACTGCTTGCAAGCCCTCTCGATCCCGACTTAGGGTAAAAAAAATGGGTCGGTAGGTAGGCAACAATTATTTTCAAGAATATTTGAACATCATAGTTAAAACGTTGAATTTTCCATTCTATTTCCCGTAATGCATAAAAAAGAATTGCTTCCTGGAAGTTAAGTTTTGAGCTGGGCCAGTTTTAACATGTCGGTCGAGAGAGGGCATATGATTATTTTTCAAGAAGGTTTGATATTTATTTATTATATATGTTAAAATATAAAACATGGCATAGGTTAAATAAAATATCAGAGAAAGAGATAGGTTCACTAACTTCTTAAAATGGCCCTGTCAAGATACCAATTAACCGACCAAGTCCTAACGTCCCATTTCAAACATCATCATAATGTAGGCTCCAAGTGAAATTTAACATATTTAATTTTCAAATAAAACTTGATTAGTTCTGATTTTTCAGAAATTAACAGGGCCGAAATTGGACTAATGTGAACTTTGCTCTTTTCATACTTTATTCACTTTTGACTTTTGTGATATAGCCAAAAAGTAATATTGAGTGAAATATACGTGTTATATATGTTATGTCTTTGTCCATTTTTTAATTACCTGTACTGAAAATACATCTGATTTCAGCCATGCTCTTTCATGAAATATATCATGGACGCTGCAAATAAACGAATTAAAAATTATATCCAATTATCATTATAAATTACATGTTTATAATCTCTAGATGTGATATAGGTAACATAACTGATTCCAAACAATATATTTTATGACACGCCCTTGCTTTATCTATTGTATAATTTCCTCATCATTGTGAATATATAAATTAATGACAGTAAAAATTTGTTTAGTTACCCAACTCCTAGGTCTGACAGTAGATTGATGAGAAAAGTAATCCCTCCAGGTCGGTCTGTCACAGTCACCTTAAATCTAACGAAACGTCCATCAGAAGCAAGCCCACGTTCTATCACACGCCCCAGGACTGGAGTGTCAATGTTTCCACCACACAGTACCACTACCACCCTATTTACAAATGTCATAACAGTATTTAATCAACTATTGCAAATACTATTCATCTATGTTTCTAGCTAGATCAAATTTCAGGAAATATACTGTTACAATGTAAAAAAAAAAATGAAGATAACGATTTGTAGTCACTCTTATTTACAATTCTGTAGTGGTTTATATGTGTATGTATCAGTGCACCAAAGTATCCGTTTCAAAGTTTAAATTTTATTCAGGATTTATGCCTATTAAATGGTATTTATGATCTGACTTTTTCTCTGCCAACTCCGGAAGTAATCCTTCTATAATGGCGGCCAATCCTGCTGCACCTGCTCCTTCCACAATAGCTTTCTCTATTTCAATCAGACGCAGGATAGCTAGATCTATATTCTCTTCCCTAGAAATGAAATAACTTTGATTTCGTCTGTTAAATTCAGTTTTCAGTATTTATTATTAAATTAATTTAAATATGAACTTTCAACTCAATTTTTGAAATATTTTATAATATTATATAAAAACAAAGGAGAAGCGAGATAAAGGGTCTTATTCTAAATAAAATGAAGTTTAATTTGAACTTGCTTCATTATTTGATTGAGATTGTATATTCACTTACTTCACTGTGATCATTTTGTCAATCAATTCATTGGCTGTGGCAAATGCATTCACTCCAACTGTTGGTACAGCTAACCCTAAAACGAATGATCAGGTTTAAAGTTTTATACTTTATTGCAGTTTATAGTTCACTCCAATGCAATCATGAATTTTGTAAAATAAATATTTTGTATGAAGTTAGGAGAAATCCTGTACTTCTCACCATCTGCAATAGAGGAAATAACTTCCACTTTTGTTGGTTTTCCAACCTCTCTTGCTTTTGAGAAACTAGGACATCTCTCCGCTTCGACACCCTTGTTAAAGAATTGACACAATGACAAATGATTTTTTCTTCAAATTTAACACAAAGCATGTGATTGAATCAATAATAATTTCTGTAATATATTTGACTGAAATGTAGTTGCATCCCGGGTTCATATATATGTATATATATGTTTGTACCTTTTTTACCCACCTTTTATGATGACCAGGCAGCAGTTAAGAGCATTTTGTATATATGTATTTGAATCTTATGATGTTTGTAAGGGGGTCAGTTTGAAATACATGTCTTATGAACCTTCTGTAGGATAACAAGGTTAGAATTCTTATTCTAGTCTGGTTGTCCCTATGTACATCATATTACAACGCCATTATGGTGCTGGGGGTCATATTGTGTAATATGTTGCCTAACATATGTAATACTCTATATCTGAGTCCACTTTTTCTGAACCCATTTTGTAAACTGTGTTTTACTTGTCATTAGATTTAATGAAATTAATTCAATGAATGTGTTTTACTTGACGTAAAATGGTTAAATGTTATTCTCACAATGATCTTGATGTTTGGTTTGAGGTGCTTTAGAGCCACGGCCGCCCCCGCAATCAGTCCTCCCCCGCCGACGGGTATGACGACGGCCTCCACATCAGGGACTTGTTTCACGATCTCCAACGCCATTGTTCCCTGTCCGGCTATGATGTGAGGATGATCATAACTTCATAAAACAAATGAATGTGCAAAATTTAAAATATCTAGTGTTTAATTCATTTTTTTTATTACATAAATTCATTTATTCATTGATAATTATTATTGATTGATTGTTTGAAAAAATAATGCAACGATGAACATACCCATTGATGTAAGCTAGTCCTTTCTCTTTGCCTTCTTTCTGTGCATATCTTTTCGACTGAGAGTAAACAAAATAAATAAAAATAGTGCCGCGTGACCTAGAAAACGTTTCTGAAGAAGAAAAAAATGATCAAATAATGTATATACAACACTACATTCTCCATGTAAATATAATTTTACCCCTGGCTTACAAAACTACATACGGAAGATGCTGCTAGGCGCCATGATGGACAAATAACAAAAAATATGAAGTGTCGAAAAATTAAAAAGATTTTCAAAACAAAGTTATCAAGCAATTCATTTCTTTTATGGACTGCAATTATCTAGAAATTTGTCACAAAATCATTTTAATACTTTATGCACTCCCAAAGGGAGCATAACGTGTTTACTATTTCAGGTCTATCACAAATTAAATATTTTAATTAATATTAAATATGGATAAAAAAAATATTGAGGCGTGTCTATATAACAGAGAATAAAACATACCCTTTAAGTCAATTTTCTTTTTTCAGTTATATAATTTTCTTATGTAAAATATAAATAAAGAATCATTCTATCGTATCTTAAATTATAGCAAAACGTTCACTTTTTTAAGATAATAAAATGTTTCAGATCTTGTGTAAACTGACCTCAGAAATATCATGCCCTTTAATTTCGACCGTGGCTTTGTAGCGTTTGCAGGCTTGTACTTTCATCATTGGTGCTATGGTTGGCATGATCACGGTCACTGGGATGTTTAAACAATTGCCATGATAGGCCAGAGCCAGGGCATGGTTACCGGCACTGGCCGCTATAACGCCTTTTTTCTGCTGCTCCTGTGGTATACAGGAAATCATAGATGTAGGTAACAGGCTTTTAACATATTTTTAAAATGGGTTAAAATCCTATTTCTATCATCTAAATCTAAATGCATATACAAGGGTTGATCAAAAAGTTCGCGAACCTTCTCTATATCTACATAACCGCAATTCAGATTAAAAAACAATTTGGTACATGTATACCCATACACAAGTTAAAAAATAGTTTATGCTGAATAAAGTTTTGCTTCTTGTTTTTGAAGTCACAATGAGAAAATTACGTCACTTTGAAGGTCACATGTGACGAAAAATGGTTGTCTTAGTCGAACTTGTTCAACAAAGGTTGTAAAATTTATGGAACATCTTAGAAATCCCTTTGCAGTAGCGTATAATTATTTGTACAAGACAAATGTCTTACTATAAATCTAATCAATGGATAGATTGATTGTTTTGTGAAGGATGGCAGATGATTAAGAATAATTCTTGTTATGTTGTCCAGTGAAAGCAAGTTTGAAAAGAGATGTGTTTTCTAATTAAGCAATCTGCTATCGAAGACCTCCAATTTACACTTTAAAAATATTTTAATATTCAACATTAATATGATTATTAAATACATACAATAACGTTTACTTTAGATTTTAAACATTTTTAGATATGATAAAAAGGAGGGCATCCATTCTCTATCCACCTTGAATAAACGTGTGTCTCTGCCGAGACAGAAGATTTTATGTTTTGATGTTCGCCATGCTTATTTTTGGAAAGGATATTCTTATCTACCCATTCTATTGCCGAGAATTGACTATTTCTGACAAATGAGCTGTTCTTGCAGTGGCGTAGCCAGGCCATTAATGATGTGGACGCAAGAGTAGACAGGGGGTTTGGGGGCCTAATGTCCCCTATGGATCCGTGGTTAAACCCTGGTGAGGATCCACAGGCCGATCCCCCGACGGCTATTGAATTTATTTGAGCATATTCGACCCTCTTGATCGCAATTTTCTTAAACTTTTAAGTTTGCTATGCAATGTTTTCGAGATCTGTTTTTTTTTGTAGGAAATATGGAAAAACACTCTAAAATGAGAAAGGATATGCCCAATACACTGTATCGTTGTTTATGTAATATGAAGAGCCCACTTAAAACAATTTTAGAATTTTGAAGAGAAAAAATACTTATGATAAATTAATGGGTTGAAGTGGTACTTGTATATGAGAATGTAATGCACTTAGAGAAAAAAAAAATCAGCAATACGTAAACCACATTCAAGGAAAATCTAATGATTTCAGAAATAGAGATGCTGACTACATGTACAGTATCATATTATCCTCTAAAACTGATTCTCTCTCCTTTTTTCCCTAAAATGATGTGGACGTTTTTGAGTACAAACGTACGCCTGGCTACGCGCCTGTCTTGTTATAAAAAATTAACTTACATGGAAAGAAATATAAAACTAAGAAAAATCTTTCAGCTTTTGTGGCAGAACGCGAAGGAGGGGGTCCCGTGACCGCATATACTAGTATCACGTGATTAAATAATGTACATTAAAATTGGAGACAAATTTAAAATACTATAGTATACCGAGTAACCAACACTGAAACCAAATAATGTTCCTTTTACGAAAGTTATATTCAATAAGTTCGCGAACTTTTTGATCCCCCTGTATATAAGATTACGTTGATAAATGTTTCGAAAAATACGTATTTTGAATTAATGAAAATACAAACACGTCTTTTATCTTACAGGGAATTGAAAAAAATAAGAAACATTTATTCAATCTTTACTTGTCCATTGCTGTTTTATTCCAGATATGCAAAAGGGAGAATATATTTTATTTTATTTTTATAAATAATAAAGATATGAAGGGAAATGTTGCTTTACTTCGTTAAGCATCATAAGAGAATATCTTGCTCCTCTTTCTTTGAAACTAAAATAGAAAGTTGAAATAAATGAGCAGTATATCATAAAAAGATTTCTTACACGAAAAAAAAAGATTTTTTTTCACAATGGAAAAAAATGATAATAATTATGAAGTTATATAGAATATAATTATTAAAGTCTTTATTCTGACATAATCCATTGCATTATTTTAGGCTATTTGATCATAAAGGTTTCAATTACACACAAATAAATCATAAATTATAATATTCAAATTGTACTGTACAGAGAAAATACGGTACCTCCCTGTTCGCTGTTGAAATTCTTTCTTGAAGTAAACTTCCTTCAAATTCAGTATTTCCGACATTCTAGATTTCTAAGAATAGGAAAAATACTAATTATGCAAAAATACTAGTATTGGGTGATAGAGAGAGAGATAGAGAGAGAGAAAGAGAGAGTGCATTCTCTTAAATCCAGACACACCATTCTTTGCAAATGGAAGAATATTGCCTTCCAATTATTGAGGGCAAGAAAAATTGCAAGGATGAACGAATTCCGACTGTATTGTACAGATTGTACAGATCATAAAATATAATATGTATGTCTTACAACACAGGGGCTCAGGAGGTCGTCCTTGATTACATCTGAAGCCGCCTCGACATCTTTAAATGTAACCTTTTTGGGGTTGTCTGGGTCACAAAAAGGGTCCAAAATTTCTTCAACCATCATTGGGTCTAAACTTTCTTGATCCATCATATGATATATTTGTCACTTTGAGGCACTCCTCGGTTTTTACTCTGTTTTCTTTACCTGACTAAAAAAATTAAAGAAAATTGCATTTCTTCAGGAGCAGACATGCGTTTAACAATTTAGATTTAGTAGTTACATGTGTACTATGTCCTAGTATTTGTTTATTTCTTCTCTTTTTTGGATGTAACTCCCAATACATAAAAGAAAAGGAGATAACGATAAATTGTACAAATTGTATTTATTGGGAAAATTTTCAATCAAAATCTAAAAGAATAAGTTTGTTGTGTATGCATCGTCCTTCGTGAAGACTATTGGCATTTCAATGGAAAGAGAGTCATAAAATGAAAAGCATAAATTTTCAAATGTACCATACTGTCCTTCAGATGAGACCATATAAACCGAGGTCCCGTGTCGCAGTAGGTGCTGGCACGAAAAAGATTCCCTCCCTGCTCATTGGGCCCAAGTGCCGAGTATAGGACAAAATTGGAGCTCTCCACCGGCAAGTGGCGGTGTCTCCATATGAGTGAAAAATTCTCGAGAGGAACGTTAAAAAATATTGTTTACAATCAATCAATCAAATGTACCATACAATCATTGGTGAGAAAATGCTCTCTCGGTCACTCATTTACCAACGCGTTTCAATTCTTTTAAAAAAAAAACCCTTGCAATGGATATTCAAAACATTCTGTTCTATTCCGGCCAACCTGATAGAATTGGTTTGCTTTATTGTGAGTTATTTTAGCGGGGTTCTTATCTGGGCTTATTTTGGCGTCTTAATGATAGTCCGCTAAAAAAATGTAATCACTAAAATAATCCATACTCTTCTTAATGTCTATCTGCTAAGAGCTGAATCCCTGCGTCCGCCAAAATTATTGACAAACCTTTGAGCAGGCAAAACGCCAAATTTTACACCCGCCAAGAAAACCCGCTATACGGTTTATATCGTCTATGGAGATCACCCTTATATCTCGGATTGTAATCCCACTGCGGGATGAGATGCATAAACTGAAGAAGGTGAGAAAAACCCTCTCTGCTCAATGGCTCGGCACTGGATGCCGAGTAAAGTTTTAATTTGCAGACCTTCATCAGCAGGTGTACGCGTATCTATCTGAGTGAATGGACGTTTAACAAAAGAAAAATTAATCAGCCTTTCTATTCAAATTTATGTTTATTTTATGCTTATTTTTATTATTTAATAGAAATTTCTCAAAGTTAAATTTCCACTGTCTTATAATATTTTTCATGAACCTTTACAAGTGATTACATTTGGGTTATCCTAAGCAAAAAAAAAAATGAATTTTCTTTAATTTAGACTTATACACATATAAGTATTAACATGATATTGAATTAGAAGTAATTTTTAATGTTTTTTAATGATCGATAGAAAATGCTTTGTATTAATTTTAAAAATGAATGAAGCTAGTACATGTACATGTAAACAGAAGAAAATAATTATATAGTACCATTTAAGTATAAAAATCATGCTATTTTCTTCAAAAGCCTACATGTAGATACCTACAGTTTTTTTTATCCTAAAAGGAAATTGTTGATTACTTTCGATGAGAAAATGCATATAGTATAATATAATCAAATTCAAGGATCGATGTTTGAAGAATTATTATGGTTAAAGCACATTAATCGGAGAGTTTTTGGTCATTTTTAGGGCATTATTTTTATTATTAATCGCCTGATTTTCAGAACCTAAAGATTGGATTACCTTGATGAGAAATATTGAAAATCAATGGATAAGTTAATAAACAAGTACATGTAGTTACCAATTAAAACATTTTACGTTTCACGGATGTTGCAGATTAGCAGACTTTGAAACCCATCTCTATCCTGCAGGAGAATTTGGAATATGCATTGTCCGAGTATAAAAATATGACATGCAAAGTCATCACTGATCATCGATGTTTTTAACTCTAGCCTACCTCGAGTTAATCAAAGTACTGAAAGTACTGCTACGAGTTGATGGTATTGATTGTTTGTTGTTTAACATCCCTCTCGAGAATTTTTACTCATATTACTAGGCATCACCACTTGCCAGTGGTGATCTGCAAATTTTGCCCAATGCTCGGCACTTTACGGCCATTGATCAGTGATGGATCTTTTTTTCGTGCCAGCACATACTACGACCTCGATTTTACGGCCTCATCTGAAGGACCGGTCGCTACGTCCCATAGCGGGATTCGAACGCACGATGTTAGGATCAACTACTTACTTCGCGACTCTAAAGCAGACGCTTTAACTACTGCGCCACACATCATGTTAAAATGAGTTGAGGTCACTGATTCATATTTTGGTAATATGTGTTAAGTGTTATGATGAAAAAATAAATAAAGCAGATTTTTACACAAATATTTCAAACTAAGAGGACCAACCTTCAACAAAATTAAAAAAGGGAATTTTAACTTACAAAGAGCGCAAATGAATAAAATTATTAATATGCACATTAATATGCACATCAAATATTTTAATAATTTTCATAAATTGACAGATAATTTGATATTTCCAGTGCACATCAATACGTAACATTTCTCGAGATTGAGCCACTGTTAAATTTCAAATCCTCTATTTTCATTGATATGCATATTTCAATATTCAAAATTCTTGATTTGTTTACTATGGTTATTGAAATTCAGCTCCACGTCTTTCAAAATTTATATGTATATTTGATATTTTCTTGATTTAGCCACTCGAGCCACTCGTGAAATTCAACTCCTTGTCTTGTATGGTCTTTGATATGCAAAATAAATACTCCAATTCTACCGATTTAGCTGCTATTAAAATACATTTTTTACTTTTAATTATAATGAACATTATAGTTTAATTTTTTTCGTTTGGTTTAGACACTCTTGAAATATACTAGTATTTACCTGACTTCAATAAATTGATTTGTACATGTAATATTACATTTCTTTCAATTTAGCTCTCTTGTAATTCAACTACATGACTTTCATTGATAAATTTATGCAGGATTAATATTTCAATTCTTTTTGACTTTTTGACTGAAGACTAAAACTCTACCACAATGGCATGGTATATTAATCGTTTACATAATCTGTTTACTTTTGAATATAATATTTGATTTTCAGTCTCTTGATTCACATTCATAAACAAAAATTTTCATTTTTTTATGAAAAACATCCGATTTAATCTTTTTGTGTTTTTTTTTTCTTTTGGTTATTATTTTCTACTATCTTCTGTACTTTAAATTCACTGTATCACATTTTCAGCATCTGATAGTAAGACCAGCTGGATATAGTAAAGGAACTCTCTTTCCAGAGTAGCGCAGACAATAAGATAAGAATCACAGGCATGTTAAGTGACCTTCACTGTATTGTGATACAGATCTAAATTGTGAAAGACAGTAGTTCTTTTATTGTTTGTACAAGAAGTAATGGCATTTACATAAAAATATTTTATCAACTGGAACAGCTGCTCATTTCTTCACTTTAACATTAGCATTTGATTTACTTCGACCATCTTTACTAGGTGTTTCTCGCTTTGTTTAAAAACAGAAGTAGTGCATGTTCTATATGTAAACACTTCGTCACTAGTTATTGCGGGGAAATTGCGCTGGTGATTTGGATACTGGATCAGCGCAAGGATTAGTTGATTTATATACCATAACACGTCAGTCTTGTAAAAAAAAAAATAACCTGGTTTGTACAAAATTTAATTTTGTAAATTTTCTTTCAAAATCTATTTTCAAATTACTGACTTATAATAGAAAATGTTTATTGACTTGAAAATCAAAACTTTGTTTGCACGACATATCACAATTTGTGACTGCATGCCCCTTGCACTATTTTCTCTCGCAGATTGACACAAATTCCCAAAAAATAAATAATAAATATTTAAATTTATAAACACTTTAAAGCATATCAGGAAAACATATTCTTATTCTGTAGATCATGAATATTGTAAATAAGCCAATATTATACAAGAACCTGTACGCAAAATACGATAAGAGGCCCAGGGGCCACAGCGCTCACATGAGCACATTAGGCTAGAATTTACTCCCACCCCCCACCCTTCCAAGCCGCCATCGTTTGAACAAACTAGAATCTACACTTCCTGAGGATGATTCCATATAAATATCACTAATCATAGCTTTGAAGTACTTGTAAAGAAGATTTTAAAAGGTTTCCCCATATATCCCTATGTAAAACTTGGGTCGGCCATTTTGGCCCCACCATTGCCCCGGGGGTCATGATTTGAACAGACTTAAATCTGCTCTACCGGAGGATGATTCCACATGAGTTTCATCTTTCCTGGCCCAGTGGTTCTGGAGAAGAAGATTTATAAAGATTTTTCCTATATATTCCTATGTAAAATTTGGGTCGGCCATTTTGGCCCCACCCTTGCCCCGGGGGTCATGATTTGAACAAACTTGAATCTACACTACCTGAGGATGATTCCACATGAGTTTCATTTTTCCTGGCCCAGTAGTTCTGGAGAAGATTTTAACGATTTTTCCTATAAATTCCTATGTTAAACTTGGGTCGGCCATTTTGGCCCCACCATTGCCCCGGGGGTCATGATCTGAACAAACTTAAATCTGCTTTACCTGAGGATGATTCCACATGAGTTTCATCTTTCCTGGCCCAGTGGTTCTGGAGAAGAAGATTTTTAAAGATTTTTCCTATATATTCCTATGTAAAACTTGGGTCGGCCATTTTCGCCCCACCCTAGCCCCGGGGGTCATGAATTGAACAAACTTAAATCTACACTACCTGAGGTTGCTTCCACATGAGTTTCATTTTTCCTGGACCAGCAGTTCTGGAGAAGAAGATTTTTTAAAAAATGCCATTATTTTTTAACAAATTCATGATTATCTCCCCTTGGAAAAGGGCGTGGCCCTTCATTTGAACAAACTTGAATCCTCTTTACCCAAGTATACTTTGTGCCAAGTTTGGTTGAAATTGGCCCAGTGGTTCTTGAGAAGAAGATGAAAAAGTGAAAAGTTTACGACAACGACAACAACGACAACAACGACAACGACAGACGACGGACAAATTTTGATCAGAAAAGCTCACTTGAGCCTTCGGCTCAGGTGAGCTAAAAATATGATTAGTTTCGGTACATGGGGAATCCCTTACCAGTAACATAACATGAGTTGATGCCATCAACTCGTAAAAATAGATCATTCTCAAAGTTTGACTTTAAGAATCATATAGAAGTCTGGAGACTTACACATACCATTTTGTTTATTTGCTTGTATATGTTATTCAAGGTCCCTCTCGAGAATTTTTCACTAATATGGAGACGCCACAACATTGAACAATGAGGCATCTTTTTCGTACCGGCACCTACTGCAACACTGGACCTCGGTTTATACCGTTTTATCTAAAGGACCGATCTCCAGGTCCCAAAATAGGATTCAAACCCGCGACGTAGAGATCAACTCCTTACTCCGCGACTCTAGAGCAGACGCTCTAATTGTGTCACTGCGCTACTCAGGCACACACCATTTTGAAGTTTGAAGATGGAAATGTCATATCGATTTGAAACAGATTTGGCAACCGTTTTCTTCTCCTCATGTAGAAATCCCTTTGCTTCAAGGTCGTTAAAAACACTACTCGGATTGAATAATTCTTTTTTCTTTACATGTTTTACCAATAAAGTAGCAAAATGTAGCAACATTGGTGTCCAGTTGTAAATGTATTCAACCTCATTGTAAAAAGATATAGATCCGGGATCATGAACTAAGCTTCAAATGAAGTAAATGTTATGTTTAATTCTTCTTTACAACTACAGTTTGACATGCGACAGTTTGTGACAGAGTTTGTCGACAAAAATTTATGAAATGTTTGTAACATTATCTATTTTGAGTAAAAATATGAACCAAAGTTCCAATATAAGAAATAAAATCTATGCACTTCAAGAAATTTATTCTTAATATCCTTGTTACAAAAGAAATGATCTCCAAAAAGTTTTCTTTTTTTTTTCTTTTTTTTTTTTTTGAGAGCGACATTTTTTAAAAAAATGTAATTAACTGTTGATTAAATCATGATGTTACAATGAAATAGGTCTGAGGTTATGACTTTTTTTCCCTCAAAAAATGACGAGTGACATACCATAATTTATCAAATGTAAACTGAAAGAAGTATATAATTCAACTATTTTTCACACCCACCGTATTTGCAGACAGACAGGAAAATAAATGAATTTCAATATATATGCCCGTTAGAATGACTTAATTCTACTAAAAAGTAAAATTGATAGCATTGGCATGAAAGAAAAAGGGTAAACAAAGAGATTTGATGTCAACATTCCCCTAAAAAGATTATTTCTCCTTTTAAAAAAATTCAAATTTTCACACGAAGCAGATATTGCTAATACTTTATCTCTCAGAAAAATTTTACATAGGCCCATGGCAACATTTTCTTCACTGTTAGAACTGCGTAGATATTCTTTGCATAAACGTGAACACGTCATTGAAACCCCTTTACTTTCGTAGATGTGTTTATGGGTATCAATCAAACCGTTTTCGAGAAATTGTATGCACAAACTGGCTTGAAAGAAAATACAAGTAAATGAGTTCATCAAAAGATAATCTACTATATTATATTATATCAGGGTTTTCCGGCCACTTTTCAAGATAGATGGACATTATTATGAAGTGCCCAGTATGCTGATTGACAGAAGAGGTGCTATCTGTCTTGCTGCTGGGTGATTATGAGTAAAAGAATTTAAGAATTAAATACTACTTCCTCTTTTACCAGACTTGACATTTTGATAATCAAAAAGTACTTTAATCTTTTGCAAAACTTTTAAAACCAACTAATTTTCTTCAACATAAAAAATAAAATTTAAAATAAAGTTAATACAATTTTGACGAACAATAATTCTACATATTCAAACAATATATAAAAGATAATTACGTGTATATATACATGTATTTTGAAAACGTGTAAAATTAATTGGAATATATTTTAAATAAGTCGAGATTTTTTTTTTTATACTTTATTGCAAAATATAAAAAAAAAACTATTGCAAAGCAGAGTATCACTTCGGAAAGAGCTTATTCAAAATCAAATGTAAACTGAAAGAAGTATATAATTCAACTATTTATCACATCCAACGTATTTGCAGACAGACAGGAAAATAAATGAATTTCAATATACATGCCCGTTAGAATGACTTAATTCTACTAAAAAGTAAAATTGATAGCATTGGCATGAAAGAAAAAGGGTAAACAAAGAGATTTGATGTCAACATACCCCTAAAAAGATTATTTCTCCTTTTTAAAAAAATCAAGTTTTCACACGAAGCAGATATTGCTAATACATTATCTCTCAGAAAAATTTTACATAGGCCCATGGCAACATTTTCTTTACTGCTAGAGCTGCGTAGTTTATTCTTTGCATAAACGTGAACACGTCATTGAAAACCCTTTACTTTCGTAAACGTGTTTATGGGTATCAATCAAACCGTTTTCGAGAAATTGGATGCACAAACTGCATGGCTTGAAAGAAAATACAAGTAGATGAGTTCATCAAAAAATAATATACTATATTATATTATATCAGGGTTTTCCGGCCACTTTTCAAGATGGATGGACATTATTATGAAGTGTCCAGTATGCTGATTAACAGAAGAGGTGCTATCTGTCTTGCTGCTGGGTGATTATGAGTAAAAGAATTTAAGAATTAAATACTACTTCCTCTTTTACCAGACTTGACATTTTGATAATCAAAAAGTACTTTAATCTTTTGCAAAATTTTTTAAAGCCAATTAATTTTCTTCAACATAAAATTTAAAAGTTAATACAATTTTGACGAACAATAATCCTACATATTCAAACAATATATAAAAGATAATTACGTGTATATATACATGTATTTTGAAAACGTGTAAAATTAATTGGAATATATTTTAAATAAGTCGAGATTTTTTATATACTTTGTTGCAAAATATAACAAAACTATTGCAAACCAGAGTATCACTTCGGAAAGAGCTTATTCAGAATCAATTAGGCAGCATTGACATACCATAATTTATCAAATGTAAACTGAAAGAAGTATATAATTCAACTATTTTTCACATCCACCGTATTTGCAGACAGACAGGAAAATAAATGAATTTCAATATATATGCCCGTTAGAATGACTTAATTCTACTAAGAAGTAAAATTGATAGCATTGGCATGAAAGAAAAAGGGTAAACAAAGAGATTTGATGTCAACATACCCCTAAAAAGATTATTTGTCCTTTTAAAAAAAAATCAAGTTTTCACACGAAGCAGATATTGCTAATACATTATCTCTCAGATAAATTTTACATAGGCATATGGCAACTTATTCTTCACTGCTAGAGCTGCGTAGTTTATTCTTTGCATAAACGTGAACACGTCATTGAAAACCCTTTACTTTCGTAAAATTGTTTATGGGTGTCAATCAAACCGTTTTCGAGAAATTGTATGCACAAACTGGCTTGAAAGAAAATACAAGTAGATGAGTTCATCAAAATATAATATACTATATTATATTATATAAGGATTTTCCAGCCACTTTTCAAGATAGATGGACATTATTATGAAGTGCCCAGTATGCTGATTGACAGAAGAGGTGCTATCTGTCTTGCAGCTGAATGATTATGAGTAAAAGAATTTAAGAATTAAATACTACTTCCTCTTTTACCAGACTTGACATTTTGATAATCAAAAAGTACTTTAATCTTTTGCAAAATTTTTAAAACCAACTGATTTTCTTCAACATAAGATTTAAAAGTTAATACAATTTTGACGAACAATAATCCTACATATTCAAACAATATATAAATGATAAACGTGTATATACATGTATAAAATTATTATTATAACAGTAACTTGATCCTAAGGCTGGTATCACGTCTCGTTGACAGACGTAGATCATCGGATCTAACGAGATACGAAGCGTCGAGTTTTATCTGAAGATCCGCGCCTGTCAACGAGACGTGATACGTCTCTTCGGATCAAGTTACTGTTAGAATGATAACTTTATTATATACCCCCTCATAACTAGCAAAATATAGCAAAACAAAACTTTAGAGATCAATTGTACAACATTTATCCATAAAACAAAGTATAATAACAAGGGACTTTTTAACGCGCAAGAAAAACTACGTCATCAGTTTTAGAGAATGGTAATATGGATTCAGAAAACCACGGTGTGGTGATCCGGAAAGTCAGATCACGACGTCACGGGATTCCATGAAAATCAACAGTAAAATTTAATGATACACATCAGTTATATACTGTAATAAACACATGTACATATATTTTGAAAACTTGTCGGGATTTTTTATACACCTTATTGCAAAATATAAAAAAGAAAACTATTGCAAAGCAGAGTATTTCTTCCGAAAGAGCATATTCATATCGATACAAAATTACGTATACGTCTCTTCCGTTTCACACACATTTTCGCATCTCACTCAACAGTTCAAGCAGATTTTGAGATGACAAGGGCTCTCTGAAGTGATTTTGTTGTGGTCACTGGTCTGTTTTCGAAAAGACAATTGTTGTTTAAACGGCGTTATTCAGTCTGTCTTAACCGTTCACGGTAGCTCAGTCGGTAGAGCGCTCGCTCCGTTATCGGGAGATCGTACGTTCAAATCTCGGCCGCGACTGACCTAAGTCGATAAAAATGGGTAGCAATTGTTCCTTCGCCATGCGCCCGGCACTTTTAAGTGAAAGTTGCGGGTCCTTCGGATGAGACCTTAAAATCTGAGGCCCCGTGTCAGCGGCACGCGTTTGCACAATAAAGATCCCTCACTGCTCAATGGCCCTGAGTGCCGAGTAAAGGTCAAAATTTAAAGCCCTTCGCCGGTATACGGTAAGGTCTCCATATGAAAAATTCTCGAGAGGGACCTAAACGATATACAATCATTCAATCAATCAATCAATCAATCAATCAGTCTGTCTTGTGCTAAATTAATCGATAGCTTAACACCTGGTGATAATAGTATTGTGTACCTTGCCTCTTTTATCCTTTGCAATTACCTGTAGAATGTTATAATATGATATGTAAACAGCCATTATGATCTACGCGATAGTTCAGAATTAGATGTAAATGTTGTATCAATGATGAATCCACTTGAATAATATACCTTTTAAAATCTTCTTTTCAAGTACTTCAAAACCATGATTAGTAATATTAATATGGAATCAGCCTTAGGTATTATAGATTCTAGTTCGTTCAAATCATGGGGGGTGTTAAAATTCAAGCCCCTCCCCCCCCCCCCCCCAACCTCAGTAAACTTTCAGTTCTGATCTGATATGTGCTTTTTCTATGTGCTTTTTCCTAGTTTTCCTAGCCGATGTGCTCAGATGAGCACTGTGGCCCCTGGGCCTCTTGTAATTTATTTCTTTGACGAAATTTTAAAGTTTGTATCATGATTTCTTTTAATAGTTTGCATATAAGATAATGAATAAATGTCAACATAGCACCCCAGTATATTAAAGATTAAAATAAAAGGAGAGAAAGTAAATGCATAAAAATATCTTGTCCTTCTAGAAATTTTTTACATGGTTCCTTGACAACTTGGTCTAAATAAATATTACTTTTAAATTTCCAGATTTGTATAGACATGTTTTTTTTCTCGGTCACATGAAATTTTTTCCTTGTCGGATTATATACAAATAAAGCAATGTCAAATTCAACCTTGTTTTTTTTTAAATAAAAATCGTTCAAAGCTTTGAATAAGATTGACAGAAAAATAATGTATCCATTTAAGACCAAAACGGGTGCGCAAAAATGCTGTTCTTGTTAATTTTAACAAGCATGATTTTAAATAATACGATTGAAAAAAAATTCACGATTTGAATAGAGTATCATTTGCAACAAATTGACGCCCTCAATATCGACCTGGTAGATTACAAGAACGCATTTATTTAAAAACAAAATGAAAGAAAAAAAGAATAATTGTAAAGACAAAAGTATTTAAGATCTGATAAAAAAAATGTTTGCAATTCATGCATAGATGAAAAACAAAGACTTTTAAATTAGACAAAATAAATGTTCAGTGTATTTTTCTTGTGATTTACTAAAGATAAGGATGTTTTTATTTATGTCAGAAAGCAGAAAAGGCCTAAATAGTAGATTGATTAAATTTTGGTTGGAAGGAGGTTTAGTCTACACCCAATAAAACTCTGAGGTCAAATGTTTACAAATCTGAAAAAGCGCCCATAATTGTCAACTTAAAAATATAATATGGACAATTAAAAAAACCCTTGAGACTGTGTTTTATTCACTTTTTTCAACCTTAATTATTTTAGAAATAACAAAATAGGAAAGAAAGTGACGTTTAAAAAGTACTTTTGGTGATCAACAATATCAGCAGACAAAAAAATTTACTCTACTTGTAAATAAATATAGAACTACACATTTTCAAGTTTTATTGTTTTCTTTAATAAAAAAATTAAAAATAATGTTCATAATTCACTTACTCGTAAAATGACGAGGTTAAAAACACAAACTTCCAGTTTCAGCAATGTAAAGTAAATAATTGTTTGATAAGAATTTATAGATGAAAGATATCAGTAGTTCTAAACCTCTCATGACGAGTTTGACAGTTTTTTTCTTCAGTCCTTAAGGAAACTTGAAAGTGATTAGAAAAAGAATTGCTCAGAGACCAATTAAAGGCCTTTCCAGCATCTTGGATAATTTATTATTATATTATTCTAGACTAAAGGTGAAGGAATAAGAAAAATGAATGAAGCTCTTTTCTTTAAGAATTGACATCGGGATCGATCATACTTTTTGTTTGTTACAAAATGTACTGCGTAGTAGAATTAGCTTTAAGTTACATGTTAATTGGTGCATATTAATAAAGATCGATTTTCTGATCAGATAAACTTCTTGTTTGAATTGTTTTAAATGAATTGCTATAATCAATTTAAAGTCTGTGAAGTACATTAGAACTGCGGTGGCTAGAAGTATGGGAATTTAAAATTTTCGTTTGCATAGACTGAATATCATGAAATGCATTGTAATAAGTAATTTCAAATCAGCATTTGTTTTGGATGAATCGATGCTAATGTTACATGCACAAATTAAATCCCAAACATGATATTGAGGACAATAAAGATGTAAATGATGATTGATTGATTGTATACTGTTTAACGTCCCTCTCCAGAATATTCCACTAATATGGAGACGTCACCATTGCCGGTGAAGGGCTGCAAATTTAGGCCTATGCTCGGCACTTACGGACTTTGAGCAGGGAGGGATCTTTATCGTGCCACACCTGCTGTAAATGAAAGCAGGAACTTAAGGACGGAGCCACAACAAGTTATGATTAAACTTTTAGAAAGAGACCCTCAAGCAATTTTTCATAAT